AACTTGAGATTCTTACCTATTGCCCTTTTTTATTGTGGTGGGGCTGACTCCAACTCTTCTTTTCACTTACCTCTTGTCTCTGAATTACCCTTTGACCATATAATTGGCTTGCTGCTTCCCTAACCCGGTGGATGGAGCAAATTATATTGAAAACAGCAGAATTTGTTTTCATTTTGTCTGTTTTTACATGACATCCTCTTCTGAATTCTATAATTCAGAAAAATATCTACCAAAAAAGGACACAGAGGAAAATATATACATGAGTACAGAAAGAAAAGAAAATAGAAGTTTCTTTTCAAAGAGGCAACTGGGTCAATTACAACCACAGCTTTGTCACTGGGAAGATTTTATAAATGGATGATCTCTTGGCATGAGAGACCTTGAGAGATTCAAGATGCCTCTGAGAAATTGGACACATGATGGGTCAGAGCTGATATCAAGTGCAAATATCCAACTTGGAAGGTTTATACACCTTTTATTTGAGAAGTGCAAGCTACCTTTTGGACACTGGTTTGATCTTTCCCTAAATTAATATATTATCAGTTAAAATGTCTAATTAGAGTCACAGATAGTCAAACTTAATCTCACATGCTTTGAATATATTGTCAAGAGAGGCTAGTCCTTGGAAAAAAAGACACTGTGTTGAGACAGGTGAAGGGTCAGAGAAGGAGATGAAGATGGTTAATGAGATGGATTGACATAGTAACAACAATTAGCTTGAGTGTGGCAGAGAAGGTGGGGATTGCATAAGATAATCAAGGTTCAGATCTGTTCCCTCTGAGTCACACAGTAGGCTAAACAGCTCGTCACAATAGCAATGGTTTTTTGTTGTTGTTGTTTTTTCTTTTGTGTGTACCATCAAATTGGATCTGACTGGTACAGGAGGAGATTGCCCCTCCTTCTCCAGCAGAGCAACTGGAGGATTTGAACTGTATACCTCTGGGATTGCAGTGCAGCTTCTTGCCACTAGGCCACCAGAGCACCCTATAACAATAGAAAATTTTTTTAAAATTTCTAGACTTTAGGAAGATACTAACGATGCTTGATCACATGAGGTGTCTAAGTTCTTTGACATATTGTCTATTTTCTCTTTAATACAATATCAAAAAGGAAGGTTGATAATTTGAATTCTAAGTCAGTTTGTGTAATCCTGGCATGGTTGAGTTGGGAGATGACTGAGTCTTGCAGATTCCCATTATACTTCTCATTGAACCCCAGACTAGAGGACATTGCATCTTCTGGGTATCTTATATCAAGGTTTGAAATTCCTTCAAATCCCAGCTTAGACTCTTATCCTTATCTAGGACATTGGCTAAAAATGCATTGGTCACATTGTGAACATAAGTATTTGCCTGCAGAAATAAATTGCAGTATTTTCCCCTTTTAATCACCTAGTTATATTATTGTACAGAAAATATGGAGATGTTCTCTTAGGTTGCTGATAAAAGCATAAAACTTATACAGCCTATTTGGTAATTAATTTGTGAGTAGGTTTACACTATCCATATCCTTTGACTAAGTAGTTCTGTGTTCAGGAAATAATCAAGATTTTTACCTAATGATTTAGCTGCAACATGTTCACCAGATCATTCCAAAAAAATAAGATATGAATCATTAATTAGACACTGTGCAAATATAAAAAATATGATGAGCTATTTGCTTTGGGACATGAAAAGATGTTCATTGTATCTTATTAAATATCTAAGTCAAGGTCACAATAGTAAGTATACTATTGATATGTGTGAGTATACATATATATTTAAACTAAGACTACACTCAATGTTGTTGCATTAGTTTCAACGTGTAGATATTGCCCATAATATTTCTGAGGTTATACGACCAACCCAAAGGGGATGCCCTGTCTGGTGGTTCAAATTCACCAGCTGTTCCTCAGGAGAAAGATGAGCAAATTAGAGCCATTAGAAGACCCACTGGAGGGTCAACTATGTATGAGCTTGATAGCAATGAGAGAGAGTTTGAGAAGTCTTAACTGGGGGACACTGCCCATCTTATGTCCCTGGAGTGGCTGGTGGCTTTGAACCAGCCGAGCCATGTGGCCTTTTTGTTACGGTACTGTAGTCTACACCACCAGATCTCATTTTTGTACACATACAAGCATATGGAAATAAATATATTTGTAAAGAAGACAGACAAACAAGGTGAACCAAATTAATATTTATTCCTGGATACAAATAGTTAAGCAAATAGTTTGATGAAAAATTTGTCATTCAAACCCACCCAAGGGCACTTTAGAAGGTCTCCCAATCTCCTCCTAAAAGGTAGCAGCATGGGAAACTTTACAGAGCCCACTTTTATCCTGCACACAGGAAATCCCCTTCAGTCCGAATCAACTTGACAGCAACTAACAACAATAAGATTAATAGTCATTTTAATTAAGAATGGATAATCTTATTTGCCTTTATTATGGTTGCTTGTGTGTTGCTATGATACCGGAAAGTCTGCCACCAGTATTTACAATATCAGCAGGATTACCATAGGAAAAAAGTTTCATTGCCATATCTATATTAAGACACATTAGGGGGAAAGGGCTGGTGATTTAGTTCCAAAAATGAGCCAATGAAAACCCTATGGATCATGACGGGATATCGCCCACTATAATCCTGAGAGCAGGAAAGTGGTGAAGGGTTGGTTTGTGTTCATTTGTGCATGTGGTCACCACGAGTCAGAGCAAATTGGACAGCAACTAACAGCACTGAAAACCCCAAAGCCAGAATTGACGTCAAGTCCATTATGACTATTTACAAAATGACTGTAAAGTGCGGGAAATAATCATGCAGAGAAGTTCAGTAAGCAGCCCGCCAAATGAACTGTGACATCCCCTGAAGCACTTTCACTCCGCTTTCTCATTTCCCTCCTCAGAGAAAACCATGCTCCTGAATGTTTTTCCTTTGTTCTATTATTTTAAAAATTATTTCCTGAGCAATTTTTATCTTTTGCTGTATATTTTAGACTTAATAAAAATTGACTCATCCTTTAGTGCTCTTCTGCAACATATGTTTTTCCCTCAGTAGCTTGTCCTTGAAATCTTCAGAAGTACTGAACTGAGGCATTGTAGTTCAATTGTTTGATTAATGTTATGTCTTCAGTGAATAAATTTACTTTAGCTTATGGATGCATTTTCCTGTTTATGTACTTGTGTATGAATTGCAAAAGTTTATACTACCTAGAAAGTTCTTATTAGTGACTTTTGGTGCACATATATAAGTCCACTGAGTACAAGTCTGAGAGGCATGGTTGCTGCCGTTAGGTGCGCTTGAGTCGAATGTGTTTACAGAAACTCTATGAACCACAGATATGAACCTTGTCCTGTCCTACAGCATCCCCACAATCTCTTTCCTGCTCAGGTCCACTATGGTAGTCACGGAGCCAGTCCGTCTTGTAGGATGTGCAAATGTTCAGCTTTGCTCCATACTAGGAAGCAATTCTTTAACCAGCAGCATGTGAGAGTTTTCCATAGGAACCAACACACAACAATTATCCTGTTTGCCAATGTGTGTTGATCCAGTGATGTGAAATGATTTGATTTGTATTTTAATTAGGATTACTTACCATTTGTGATTCCTATTTATAAAAAGTCTGTAACGACTATTTTTTGTCCATTTATTTTTGGATTTTATTTTTTAAATTGGTTTGTAGGAATTCTGAATATCCTAGGAACAAATCTTTTGGTATACAGCTATACTTTTTGTGGCATGTACATTCCCCCTAGTTAGTGACTTGTCTTTTCATTTGCAATATAGGGTCTTTGATGAGGAGACATTCTTAATTATATCTATTCTTTCTTTCCTGGCTTGCCCTTTGTGTATCTGGTTTGAGAAATTTCTTCCTACGCATAGATAATACATAAACATAAACTCCCATCTTTCCTCTAAAAATCTTCTAACTCTGTGTGGTTATGTAGTTTTGACTCTGCATGGTGTGAAAGTGTCCAAATTTACTGTTTCCATATGGGTAACCATTTGTTAAAGAACAATTTATTAAAAGGCCTTATTGTCCTCAGAAATGGATAAATAACATTCTTGACGTAAGTCAGATGAGTGATTATTTTATGTGTGAGTAAATCTTTTTCCTGGGTGCTCTGCCTCTGAAAATACCGTATGCCAAGGGTCCTTGCCAGGGAATATCTCTATTTTTTTTTTAAGCAATGAGTTATTTCCTTGCTGGTAAGGCCTTTATCTCACGTGACATTAGAGCTATCCCAGAGCCTCTCTGTGGCACAATGATCCCATGGAGGACCTGGATATGTTTCATTTTCCCACCTCTCCAGAATGACTTTGCTGGTCATATTTTCTCACAACTTCAGCTGCTCTAAGTTCCACACATGGCAAAGTACCACATTTGAAAGTGGGGAAGAGTCGTTAATACTTTAAATTCGTATCTCAGGGTTGTTTGGGACCACCCAAGAAGTACATGTTCAAGTTGCAAGCTCCCACACACTCCCACTTGGGGCTGTGAATTCTCAGAGGAGGGATTTTTTTCCCCCTCTACCCATTCAAGGCTGGCTTTCAGAACAATTGATTTTCAGCTTGTCTTGCAGATCACCATGGGGAGTGAAGGTATTTATTTCTCAGTCTGTACTCTGAGGGTGTGTTCCTGTGGGGACCAAAATTGCTGTAGGAGATTTCATATTATACTCTCCTCCTTGGGTGGTATCTGTCCTCTACATCCCACAATACAGTGAACACTGAAGCTGGAATCCACCCGTTTGACAAATGTAGAGTTTGTCAAAAGCTTGCTTGATGTATGGCTCTGAACTCCCACTTTCACTTCGTTTTTTGGCCTCTTAGTGTTCTTTGTTTTCTAAGCAGCTCATCACTTCTTCAGAAAGACTCTTTTCTAAAATATTTAGTTGTTTCCAGTAAAAGGATCAATCGCCGTTCTAGTCTTTAGTTTGTGGAAACAGAAGTTAGCTAAAATGAAGTTAGCTAAATTAATGTTAAGATTGCGTTGTGTTTTGTCAATCTTACCTCCAGGTTTGCTGGAGTCTGAACCATTGCAAGGAAGAGATGAAGATGCAGTAGCCAGTGCTGACTTTTCTAGCATGCTGTCGGAGGAGGAAAAAGAAGAGTTAAAGGCAGAATTAGTTCAGGTATGGTTAGCGTTCTTACTCTTGCTATTTCTATCTCTCGACCTTGAAAGCTCTTATGAGTTTGTTGTAAATCGGGTTTTACAATTTTTCATCTATAATTCTTCTAAATGAATATGCTGCAAGATTATTCATTTTACTGGTGTTGTAGTACTATTGTTTATTTTCCTTGGATTGCACAAATGGTTATGTGCTGAACTACTAGCTGAAAGATTGGCATTTCAAACCCTCCAGAATGCCTTAGGAAACCGGCCTGGCCATCTTCTTCAGAAAGGTCAAAGCCCTACGAACCCTCAGGAGTAGTTCTATTCTGCACACGTGTGGTCACCATGAGTTGTAATAAACTGAACATTATCCTTTTCCTGTTGATGACAGGGATAAAATAAGTGATTGTGCTGTGTGAGCAACAGTCTTACATGGTTTTTTGTATCTACTGATTCTTTTTAGTACTTACCTCTTACAAGGTTAATAAATCACTTATCAACCTAATGGAATTTACTCAAGACCATGACACAGGTGCCCCGTTCCTTTTATTAACAGTGCTTATTTGAAGACAGCAACATTATTCACAAATAATTTATCATTTCATGAAAGCCAGTCATTGAAGCTACTGACTATCAATTTGTATACTTTGAGCAAGAAGAGTAAAGTTGTGGGGTCCAGAGGAAAGCAGTGATTAATTTAGACTTGATTAAGCCTTGTATAGTTGCTGTGGGAACAAGGACAGAGAAGGGTTGGGGCCACCTGGCTTGTGAATACGATCCTTTGCTTGCAAGACTTAGGAACCCTTAATCTATTTACTAAGATTAGGAGACACAGACCAGAGAAGGAAACCCCCCTAAATATAACTGAGCAGCAAAGCTAGAAGAGAAGAATTCAGCATTCTCTTAATTCTGTGTCCCTGGCTCTTGAATGAAAGAGCAAGGGCAGTGGGGAGACAGCCATATATGACCTCTACCAACACCACAAGGAGGAGCTGCCCCCATCAACAACATCTACAACACAAAATCAAGTCCCATGAGGTCAGGCATGGCCCCTACACTGCTACACCTCTATCTACTAATTACAACACCAATCCTACTACCCTTCTAAGTCCAAAATCCATTGCAATAGCTACACAGACTTCTTGTTGTTGTGTGCCACCAAGTCGCTTGTGACTCATAGCAACCCTATGTACAACAGCCCTTAACCCAGCTCTATCCTGTGCCAATCTTATTGTCTCTGACACACCTACACCCATTACCCCAGTAACTGAATCAATCCATGTCATTGAGGGTCTTCCTCTCCTGCACTGTCCCGCCACCCTCCCAAGCACGTTGCCCCGCTCTAAGGACTGGTCCAACCTTGCTACATGTTCAAAGTATGTCAGACAAAGATTCAGAATCCTTGCCTCCAAGGAGCAGCCTGGTCTCACCCTCTGTAGGACGAACCTGTTTGTTTGTTCTCCTAGTAGTCCATGGCATATTCAACACCATTCTCCAGCACCACAGCTTAAAAGCATCAGTTTTCCTTCTATCGTCTTTAGTTGTCCAGCTTTCTGATGCATAGCAAGTAATTGTAAAGACTATGTTCTGGATCAGGCACAACCTAGTCTCCAGACTGACATCATTGCTCTTCAGTACTTTGGAGAGGTCTCTGACAGCAGAATTTCCCAATGCAATTTGTCTTTTAATTTCCTGGCTGCTGGTACCAAGTGTTGATTGTGGAGCCAAGTAAACTAAAGCTATTAACAATTTCAATCTCTTCTCCATGAATCATGATGCTGCCAGCTGGTCCAGTGGTGAGGATCTTTTTCTTGATGTTGACCTTCACTCCATATTGAAGCCTGCAGTCCTTGATCCTTGACCTTCTGCAGCCAGTGCTTTAGGTCCTCCTCAGTTTCAGCAAGCAGGATTGTGTCATCTGCATCATGCAGATTGTTGATAAGTCTACCTCCAATCCTGGTGCCACATTTCTCCTCATAGAGCCCCGCCTCCTGGATAACTGTTATGCATATAGATTGAACCATGCAATGTTTCCTTGCTCTGCTTTGACCACTGCCTCCTGGTACAAGTAGATTATCCAAAAACGACTGGAACAGCACATCAACAGAGAATTACCTGAAGTGCAGGCTGAGTTTAGAAGAGGCCATGGTACTAGGAATATTGTAGTTAATGTTAGTTGGATCTTGGCTGAAAGCAGAGAGTAGCCAAGGAGTGTCTATGTATGTTTCATTGACTATTCAAAGGAATTTGACTGTGTGGATCACAACAAACTGTGGCTGATTTTGAGAAGAATGGGAATTCCTGCACATTTGATTGTGCTAATGCGAAGCCTTTGCAGATTATATAGACCCATACTTACAATTATGGGCCTTATTACAGAGGTTAACAGGTTACACAGGATATAGTATCTCACTCAGGATAACCTCTGAAGTGTACTTGCAGGCCCTTCAGCTTTCAGCCTGTATCTTTAGGCCCATTTCACAAACTTTTCTTGTTGTTATTGTTGCTTACCTTTGAGTCAAGCACTACTCATAGTGACCCCATGAACAAAAGGCCTGAAGCCCCTCTACCACAATTAACATTCATCAAAGTTCATAGCGTTTCCAGAGGGATGTTATTTAGGAAGTGGATGTCACTCCTGCTTCCAAACCTATCATAGTATGTTATTGTTATTGTTGTTATGTGCCATTGAGTTGCCTGCAATGTATTGCGACCCTATATACAGCAGCTCTGAACCGTTCCCTGTCCTGAAGCAGTCTCACTTATTCCGACACACCAACCTCCATCACCCCAGTTACTATATCAATCCATCTCATTCAGGGTCTTCCTCTCCTGCACTGCCTTCTAAGCATGATGTCCTTTTCCAAGGACCAATCTCTCCTGGCCACATGCCAAAGTAAGTGAGGCAGAGTTTCAAAATCCCAGCCTCCAAGGAGGGACTTGGTTTCACCCCCTCCAAGACAGACCTATTTATTTTCTTGGCAATCAATGATACGTTCAAGGCTCTTCTCAAAGGCATCAATTCTTCTTCTGTCATCCTTAGTCATTGTCTAATTCTCTGAAGCATAACAAGTCATTGAGAAGACCATGTCCAGGATTAGGCGCACCTTTATATCTAGCCTGACATCATTGCTCTTCATTACTTTGGAGCGGTCAATGACAGCAGATTTAGTCCTGCCAATGATGGTATCTCCCTACCCTTAGTCCTCCAGCAAACTTGAGCAAAAACCTTTGGCTCTGGCTGTAAAACCTCTTCATTATAAAATAGAAGAACAACTTGTTCCTCCGGTACAACCAGAAATTATTTCAGTAAGTGGCTCCCATCAAGTAGGCTGACTCTTTAGCTGTGTCTGTCTGTGGTCAGTGAATTAGAACCACACAGCTGACTTCAGACCGGCCACACAGGCCAGCGTGCACAGATCTAAGTCTGCACTCATATGTGATGGGGTAGCTCCACATTTTCTTACTGCCTTCAATTCTAGTTCATGACTCGTTTTTGTCCATTTTGATGTCCAAATGTTATGTTCTACAGACTGATTCAAAGCTAAAGGTTAACACCTTCACCTCTGTTAGTTTAAGCTCATGAACAACCTTTTGTGACAGAAAACTATTAAAAATGCCTTCATTTTGTGAGTTCTGGGATCATACATATACATACATACATACATGTGTGTTTGTTTTCATGTATTCTGTACTAACTATTCAACAGTGAACATGTATTCCTTTTTTTATACATTTGCTTACAACGTTCATATACATTGTGTTTCACACTATTCTTCATTTACATTGTGTTTCATACAATCTTTCTAATGCATTGTGTTTATAAAATTAATCACTTTGGGCCTTATAGTCAAAGAAAACAAATAAATAGTCTTACTTGAGTGCTGCAATGAACGTAAAAATCTAGAAATGTTTTCAAAAATTCCTGTTTCATGAACAGCATCAGCAAGTTGCCAGTTCACCACATTTCTAGGACTTTTGAGTCTAACTTTTCACAGTATCACTTGCCTCCTACTTACTGTGTTCAAGTTGTTGGAATTTGTGTTTGCCTTTTTCAGAATGCCTTAACTTTCATGCTTCCTGCTTCTTGTTTCTGGATACCTCAAGTATGAGGAACTATTGCAGCTTGCCAGAAGCCACATCGTGTGACTCTTAGAGACCCGTGAGGATAGCATGGCCCAAGTCAAGCAGAAAACAAAACAAGTGTACCTTTGGTGCTTTATCCTCTTCATTTTTTGTTTCTTTTTCCCCCACTTGAGATAAACTCTGCTTTATATCCATTTTTTTTCATAAATCTCTTTCCATGCCTTTCATCATAGACTCTTGTGTATACATACACACATACCCCCACACTCACACATAATGAACTATTTATCTCAAGCCAGATGTATTCAGATTTCTGCAGGTGATAGGTTTTGATTACAGCAGGAGACCTGACTAAGCAGTCCCACAATTGACCTTTGAAAACTAAGACCCCTTTTAGGTGGCTCAGGATTTCTGTCTCAGCTCTCCACAAACTAGTTTTTCTTGGGCTTGTGGTCTAAACGAATCCTCTTTTTGTTTGAAAGAAGACTCTTCTTTTTCTATTAGCCACTCACAGGTATAGCTGACAGAGCACTGACCAACCCATTAGGTCAAGATCACAGCCGATCAGCGAGGCCTTTGAGGATGCAGACATCTCAGTTGTAACTGCATCATTTAAGAGAGTATGCCAGTCTCCTCTTTAATTCACTTCTCTCTGACTTTCTCACGCCCTCGTATTGTCCTCTAGTCACTCTGATCTCTCCTTCTCCAAGTACCCACTCCTCTCCACTCCTGTTATCCTCTCCTCTTGGTTTAACTTTGCACAGTTTTTTGGTTAACATTCCTATGTGGATGCCCTTGGACTTTGGGTGATGATATAACTCCATTTACCCATACATTTGACATATTTGCATGTGCCTACCAGGTGGACTGCCAAAAGATTGAATAGATACATCTTGGAAAAAAGTGCAGACAGAGTGCTCCTTGGATACAAGGATAGCTCTGTCTCTCATACTTTAATCATAATAAAATTAACCTAATTTTCTTATGAGGCACTGCATATTTTCTTTTTTAAAACTGTTTCTTTTGCTATAATATTGTATATCAGCAGTCTCCAGTTTGCCATGATGCTACTTTCCATGACTTCAGTTACCTCTGATGAACTGCAATAAAAAAATATTAAATAGAAAATTATAGAAATAAACAACAGATTGTTTTTTGTGAGGAGAAGTGTGACATCAAGATTAGAGGGAGACTCATTAACAACCTGCATTATGCAGATGACACATTCTTGCTCACTGAAACTGAGGAGACCTGAAGTGCTTGCTACAGGAGGTTAAGGACTGTAGTCTTCAATATGGATTGAATAAGCTCAACATCAAGAAGACAAAGATTCTCACCACTGGGCCAACTGGCAGCACCATAATAGATGGAGAAGAGATTGAGGTTATTAGCAATCACAGCTTGCTCAGATCCACAATCAACATTATTAACACCCGCAGTCGGTAAATCAAAAGACAAATTGTACTGGGAAAATCTGCTATATGGGCTTCTCCAGAATGCTGAAGAGCAACGATGTCAGTCTAGATACAAAGGTGCACCTAATCCAGGCCATGGTCTTCTCAATTACTTGTTATGCTTCATAAAGTTGGACAATGACTAAGAATGACAGAAGAATAAATGCCTTCAAGTTGTGGTGTTGGAGAAGAGTCTTGAACATACCATGAACTGCCAAGAAAACAAATAGGTCTGTATTGGAGAGGGCGAAACCAAGTCTCTCCTTGGAGACTAGGATTTTGAAGCTCTGCCTCACTTACTTGGGGCACACGACCAGGAGAGATTGGTCCTTGGAAAAGGACATCATGCTCAGAAGGGTGAACAGACAATACAGGAGAAGAAGACCCTGAATGAGATGGATTGATACAGTGACCGGGACAATGGGGGTTGGTGTATCAGAATTAGTGAGACTGGCTCAGGACAGGCAAGGGTTCAGAGCTGCTGTATATAGGGTCACTATGCATCACAGGTGACTCAGTGGCACATAACAACAATAACATACTATGACAGGTTTGGAAGCAGGAGTGGCATCTACTTCCCAAACAGCACGCCTCTGGAAACTCTATGAACTTTGATAAATTTAATAGTTGTAGAGGGGCTTCAGGCCTTTTTTTCATAGGGTTGCTATAAGTCGAGCTTGGCTCGAAGGCAATCAACAACAACAAGACCTAAATTGTATACCATTCTGAGTAATGTGATGAAATCTCATGCCGTAACACCTCCTCCCTCCCCAAACATGGATCATTGCTTTGTGTGGTGTCCCTGTGCTCTATGTGCCATGTGATCACTAATCACATAGTAACCATCTTCATTCTCAAATCAACTGTTAAGGTATCACAATGCTTGTATTCTAGTGACTCTTATTTTACTCAATGATTGTTTTCATTTTAGTAATACTTACTGTTGTTACTATTTTACTGTGCTTAATTTAGAAATTAAACTTTATCATAGACACCTATGTATACAAACCCAAATAATATCTGTAGGGTTGGGTATTTTCCATAGTTTCAGGCATCCATTGTGTGCCTTGAAATATATAGTTAAGAGGAACTACTGTAATGAAAAAAAACTGGATTCTTGCTCATTTCTTCCATCAGCCAACCTCATCTGTGAATGAGAGGTCATGTTAGACGTTTTAGGATGTTTTGAGTACTAACATTTTGTAACTAGGAATCAACAATAGTTGATAGTAATTTTCTCTGAATAAGGCAGTATTCTATTTATGAACTTGTGTATAAACTTTCATCCTAATATAGTTTCTTCTATCAGATAGTAAAAAGAACTCTTGTCTTCCATGTTAAGAAACAAGATATACTGAAGACTTGTAAATTTTATTTGATTTTTTGTACACCCAGAATGTGTAAATATGTACACTACATTTATGCATGTGTATTTTTAAAAGTTACACTTATCCTATGCAAAGAAATAAAATACATAGGACAGTTAAATTCCAAACACAGAATCTCAGGGGGAGAAAATGACATATAGTCAAAATTCTCTTTGAAAATAGCTTTGTTGTTGCTGTTGTGGTTGTTATGGGCCATCACATTAACTACAACTCATCACAACTGTGTGGACAATAGATTGGAACGTTGCCCTATCATACACCGTCCTCACCAACTCTGATAAACTTAATCCCATTACTACAGTCATGTGCCAATCATCTTAACATCTTGCTGCTCCTTGGGAGAGAGATGGACAATCTCCTCCAGTATAATTACTGCCTCTGAAAAAACCTGCTGGTGGGTCAGCTATGGGTCAGTTCCAGTTTTATGGCACACAACAACAACAAAGAGAATCAGGAAAGGCTCGTGGCTTAGAGGTAAGGAATTGTGCTTCCGACAAAGGCACATGATTCTAATCCAGAAACTACCCACAAGAGAAAGATGGTGTACAACTAACTACCTCTGAAAACCTGCTGAGTTTTTTTTATTCCTAGGATAAATGGTAATTGAAAAGGTACTGTTCATAAAGTATTTCGAACAAAACCAATTTTTACTTAAAAATCGTATCTATATATAACTTTATAAAAATGTAAGGTCAATAACCCTAAAACTGTTACGTATTTCCTAGTAGAGAGGGTCAGCTGTGGGTCGACTCCAAATCAGTGGTGGTGGTGGTTGTTGTTATGTGCCATTGAGTTGCCTACGACTCATAACGATCCCATGTACAACAGCCCTAAACCCTGCTCTATCCTGTGCCAATTGCATTGCCTCTGACACACCCACCCCCATAACTCCAGTCACTGAATCAATCCACCTCATTGAGGGTCTTCCTCTCCTGTGCTGTCCCACCACCCTCCGAAGTACTTAGAATCAAACTGACAAAAGAAATTTTAAAGTTTCATGGGAAATGTAGAGAGGAGTGCGTTTAGGTTAATGGTGAACATTACAGAAAAGGAGGGTGTCAATGATTATACAACTTGAAGAAAGTAATCAGTGTCTCTGAATTATACATGTAAAACTCTTTTAAAAACAAAAATCCCGTGTTCTACTGTGTATAATGGCCTAGTGGTAAGAAGCTGCACTGCCATCCCAAAGGCCCTCTGTTTGAATCCACCAGCTGCTCTACCGGAGAAGGATGAGCAATTTCCAGTTTTCTGTCTCTGAAAACCTGTTGACTGGTCAGCTATGGGTCAGTTCCTATTGGATAGTGCTCAGCAACAACAACTGTGCATATAACACAATAACAACCACAAAAGAAATTCACTGTAAAGTTACACTATGAAAAATTATTACTCTTATGAGTACTGGAAAAAATATCAAATGAAGAGTTATTTATAGGATTTGTCTATCAAATTAGCAAAGAATGAGAATTGAAACACCAATTGATATTTGTTGTTGTTGTATACCATCAAGTCAGAATCGATGCACAGCTGACCCTCCAACAAGTTTTTTGAAGTAGTTAATCATACGGGAGTAGACTGCCCATCCTTCTTCCACAGAGTAGCTGGTGGAATTGAACTGCATGCCTTTGTGATTCCAGTGCAGCCTCTTACCACTAGGCTACTAGGGTCTAGCAAATTTTCAAACATGATTGTAGGCCTATAACTTGATACATTTTTCTGTAAAAGATTTTGATGATGTACTTTATATCATATGTATGTCCATCCAGTTATATGCTCTGTCATAGGTAATCAGGTCATTTCCAAATGCATAAATCTGAATATTCATTGCATTATTCTTCATAGAAGAATCTAAAAGTATTATCAATTGACAATTACCTGATAAATTATTCTACATATGTATAAGGATAGACTGGATAGTCATTAAATTGATGTCTATTTTTATTGAAACAAGTTCCTAGGATAAATGGTAATTGAAAAGGGACTGTTCATAAAGTATTTTGAACAAAACCAATTTTTTATTTAAAAATCATACCTATGTATAACTTTATAAAAATTTAAGGCCAATAACCCCAAAAGTGTTGGCTATATCCTAGTAGAGAACAGGTGATTTTCATTTTCTTCTTTGTATTTCTCAGTACATACTGAATTTCTTGGAAGAGCATTACTTCTGTAATATTAGAACCAATAAATCTATTTCTATTGTTAAATATTCTGTCAAATATTCATTGTCTTTCAGTCAGAACCTGCTCATAGCTGTCCCTCCAACAGGTTATTTTTAAATATTACACTATATCACTGTGTTGTGACATTCTCATGGTTTAGTGTATTATCTGTCGAGTTGCCAACCAAAAGGTCAATGGTTTGAACCCATTAGCTGCACTGAAGGAGAACAATGAGGCAACTTCCTCCCATAAAGATTTCCAGTCTCCAAAACCTTCTAGTAGAGAGCTGGTGGCGTACTCTCTAACATGCTAGACTGCTGCGTCAATGGAAGATTGCTACAGCAGCAGGGTTTTTGGGTTTGTATCTCACTGCTTGCTTTATCAAAAGGGAGACTACTTAAATAAGAGGATGTTAAGCGCCTGCTTTATAACTCCAAGAGCTTTGTACTTTTCTGATATATTCTTCAACTGGTCTGACGTTTCTCCCACAATATTCTCTCCTCCTCACAGCTGGAAGACGAAATTACAACTCTACGACAAGTTTTATCAGCAAAAGAAAGACACCTGGTTGAGATAAAACAAAAACTCGGCATGAATCTAATGAACGAATTGAAGCAGAACTTCAGCAAAAGCTGGCACGACATGCAAACGACCACTGCGTAAGTACTAGCAGCGTTTAAAAATCGTTCTTGATCCATTGCATTGCCGCTCTCTACTCCCCCCATCTCAGCCTTTAGAAGGCTATTTTCATACTTGTCGTGAGGGAAAAAGGATTTCTTCAGATGTAAAATAAATATGTGCGATCATTAAACATGTTGCATGTGGAGCAGATTTATAAAGTAACTATATGAAAAAAACTTTAACCATTAAAGTTGTATTTGTACTCAGATAATTTTCCCAGGATTTTGATTTAATTTTTTTTTATCAGTTATTTTTAAAAATTCATGAAGTGTGTATTTTTTCTTACTTTTCTCTCATAAAACTGTAAGTTGGAGGGTATTTTCTCCTCAGAATAGTAAAAACTTTGTATATGCCATGGATTCTGTCATTAAGTTGTTAACAGTTTTAGTAGGGACTTTTGACAGCAACTGAGTAAGAAAATCTTGGAGCACTTCCCTTTTCAGATGAGCATCTCATCCTCAAACATTTTAGGAATTATTTAGAGCTGGATTTAGGACATCAGCAGTGTTTACTTTGGCTTTGCCCCTATCTTCTTGTCTTGCATCAAGCAAAGGATAAGAATACCTTTGGTTATCCTTCAATATATTTTATTGGCTTTAAAAAAAAATTAAGTTAAATATTTCATGTCTCCAGGACTTTTCTAGTGATCTAAAATCATTTGCTTGCCACATGGTCTTGTACCAAAGGGAAGAATGGGAACATATTAAAAAACAAAACACACAAAACTCAAACATAAAGAGCTCCACCTTGGTCTCATTGCTGTTGAATTGGAACCCAGTCAGAACTGACCCTCTGTTGGGTTTCTGAGGCTGTAAACCACACTGGGGTAGATTGCCTATCTGTCTCCCTCAGAATCACTGGTGAATTTGAACTGTCAGACAGGCAGGACCTCTCAGTTAGCAATGCAAATTTTCTTCCTTTTTCATGTTGTTGGTTTCATTTTTTCACTTTTTAAAAATTTTATATTGGTTTGTATACATAATTTTTATACATTGTGTTTCATTCATTTACAGTGTGTTTCACATATTTCTTCATTCACACTGTGTTTCATACCATCATTTCCATACAATGTGTTTTATGAAATTAATCACCATTGATCTATGCCCACCGTCACCCCGTCATTTCAAGTCCCCACTAGATCTATCCTAATTCCTTCAGGCCCTCCCTCTGCTTACCACATGACCTCAAGATTGCCTTTCCTCCTACCCTCACCCTCTTTCTTCCCTGCCCTTACCTCTTTGGCCTTTTATCCATATCTAAGTAGTTATCTTTCTATTAGTTCAATAATGGTCTTATTCAGTATTTGTACTTATAAGACTGAGTTAGTTCACTCAGCATAATGCTCTCTACTCTCTCCCATGTTATGTGGTATTTTACTAAATCTTTGTTCCTGAGTGCTACATAGTATTCCATAGTGTGTAAGTACCACAATTTCTCAGTCCATTAGTTTGTTGATGGGCATTTGAACTGTTTTTAATTTTCTTAGAATAGTGAATGTGATGCTATGAATATCAGTGTACAAATCTCTGGTCTGTTTCAGTTCAGTTTTCCTCAGAGTATTTTCCTAGTAGTGGAATAGCTATGTCATAATGGTATTTGTATGTTCATTTTTTTGAAGAAACATCAAACTGCTTTTCAGAATTTTACAGTCCCACCAACAGTATATGATCATTCCAATCTCTCCACACCTGAATTGCCATCCGTTCTTAGTGGCCACATAAACAACAGATTTGAATCTCGCCCTATCCTGTGTCGTCCTAATCTCTGATATACTGGGGTTGGAGGTGGGCCTATCTGTAACATCACAGAAACTTTCCATCTCTCGTCCTAACGCTAGCTACAGATTTCACCATCAAGATATTTCTTTGCATTTAAATTTTCTTTCCTGGAATTGCCCATTGCAAAGTAAATTTATCTCAATCATAATACCTAAACATGAATCTTTATTTCCCCTTTCCTGGACATAGAGAGGCCTCCTAATAGGAAACTCTAGTGGCTTAGCGGTAAGGAATTGTTCTGCCTATACAAAGACACATGGTTCAAATCCAGCAATTGCTCTATGAGAGAAAGATAGACAATCTCCCCTCATGAGATTTACTGCCTCTGAAGGGTCAGCTATGGGTCAGTTCTGACTCCATGGTACACAACAACATTAATGTAATAGAGATGCAAATGAACTGCAGCAATTATATCAGTTTTTCTGGTACCAAATTTGCTTACTCGCTCCTGAAAAAAAATAAGATCTAAGACTTTTAACTTCTTTGTAAAGATGTCCTTTGTACCAACAAACTGGGTCTTAATTAAAAAGAGATTGAAGTCTCCCCAGTGTGACCTCCCTGGTTTTCCAGTGAAAATAGCAAGTATCTCTCCCCTTAAAAAGTGAGCCATGGGTACTGTAGGTTTCTCTGCATATACACCCCAAAGATACAGCTGAACAATTGGGACACAGCCTAGAGTAGGGCAGAATGAGGCCAAGGAGCTCATAGTTTAGCTCTGGATACAACTAATCTTGCCCAACCACATGATAACATTTTTGGGAGAAGAACCTGCATACTGATGCACATCAGTTTAAAATATATATTGCAGTATAAAATGAACAATACCCTGAAAAGAACTACTATATTCCATTGGAGGGATGAAATGGAATGAGGCTGGTGTAATTCCATAGGGAGTTGCACTGCTAATCCAAAGGCAATTCAAAGCTGCCACTGACTCTGAGGGTGAAAGATGGTATAAAAAGATGAAGGGCCACATGGGGACAACCATGTCTGACCTTAATCAACTTCTCAAAGGGGAAGTATCCCCATTGATAGCATAAATAATACAAAACCAATACCCATGGAGTCAAGATGTGTCCCCCAAACTCCCATACCTCTTTCTACTCAACACCAATCTTAACTGCTTTACTGGATCCAAAATCTGATCCCCTATCTCACAGGCCACACAGAACCATATTGTGGAAATAAAAAAGAATGGATAGGTAATAAACACACTGCACTTTAACAGAAGAGGGGAAGAACGCTCAATACGAATCTATAATTAATTAGGCATTATGTGTATGACAACAATCTGGAAGAGGTGCTTTGCAAAGTGGACTGGGGGAAGAGAGAGAAGATGTGCGACAATTAATTAATGAAAACCAAACCTTTCTATAAACTTTGTTAAAAATGATAATTTTTAGAAAAAGTTTATATAATCCAGGTAAACAGCAGGATACAGTCAAGACTTTCAAAATGTGTTTGCAGTCGCCTCAGCCTTGAGCCTCAGAACTTTTACAAAATTCTCAGTCCTGTGAATTATGACCGTCCCACCCCTAGTTGTCCAACAAACTTTGACAAAGATTCTTAGCTCTGGTTCCAATGGTGTAACAGTCCCAAAGTCCCATCTCACATCAGGTCTCTGGTTTGGCTATGGCTGCTGCCGCCATAAGTGTAGCTGATGTGTTACATTCTTGCTTCTTTTCTGACAGGAAAGGTCTCTCCTTCTGCTGCTGGATTGCTCAATATAATGGTGAAATTGGCCAATCCCCGTGTGGATTAGTGAGAAGAGCTAATCCTTTTATGGATTGGTAGATAGCCAGCACCCTTTTGAAGGCAAACAGGCCCTATTCCCATATTTCTGCCCATCTATATGCAAAGGTTAAACAATGGTTAGGAAATTCATTTTGAAAGATAAACTCCACAGATGGACAGTCTCCTCCTGTGTGATTTATAGCCTCAGAAATACAGTAAAGGACCTGACAATAGCTCCTTCTTGTCAATGTTTGCACTTCGATAAACTCTAACACTTAATGGTCTTGACAACATGAGACTAAGCTCAGTTAGAGACCTAGTTCCCTTGGTCAGATTAAGGCTGTATTTAATCTATCCTCCAGGCTCTGTGTCATTTATATTTGAACTTTTGGAGTGTAAGAACCAGGAAGAAACTTTCTGCTTGGTCACCTAAATATTAATTCAAGGACAAAATAAACAAATGCAAGGCAGGAAAATTCAAGAAATTCTGTTTAGGGGTGGAGAAAGAACAGAGATTATCTGGGACCAGGATAAATATTTTGTTTTGCCTTAGGTCTAATGGGGGTGGAGTTGGAGATGGGCAGTAAAGGAAAAGGTTCATAGTCTTCCTGGGTCTTGTAAATAAAGCAGTGAAACTCATGGAAGGCTTTTAGTCCATTACATGGGGACAGTACAGAGTTTATGCTCTTGTCCATGTTTGAAAACCAGATTTGTCATAAGTAGACAGTCAACTAAGTTTCTTGTTGGATAAAGAAAAGAGATTTATCTAAGATTTACTCTAGATTTATGCTTATGGAGTTTAAAGTCTCCTCGAAAAGAAAAATGTGTTTTGTTTCTCTGTGTGTTTGTGTTTGTGTTTAACAAGTTGTCACTCTTAACCAGTTAAGTGATACATATGAAAGTGATGTGCAGAAAATACAAGGTGTTATGAGAATAAGTTCTAGTATAAGAGATGGAAACTGCCAACAACTTCATCTTACTTGGATCCACAATCAATACACTTAGTACCAGCAGTCAGGGGATCAGGAGATATATTGTAGGGAAAAGCCTGTAGTTAGGGACCTCTCCATATTATTGGAGAGCAATGATGTTAGTTTGAGGACTAAGATGTGCCTTAGTTTAGATTCAGGCCATGGTCTTTTCAATCACTTACTTTGTTGCTGAGAGCTGAACAATGAATAAGGATGAAAGAGAAAAAAAAATTTAATGTCTTTGAACTGTAGTGTTGGATGTCTTGGAGAAGATGCAGCCAGAGTGTTTCTTGAAGGCAAGGATGGTGAACCTTCATCTCACATACTTTGGATATATTGATAGGAAAGATTATTTCTTGGAAAACAATATCATGCTTCGAAAGGTAGAGCAAACAAGAAGAAGACCCTCAACCAGTTGACACAGTGACTGCAGCAATGGGCTGAGGGATGTTTGAGATTGTGAAGATGGCACAGGACAAGACAGGGTTCACATCT